CGGTCCGAGCCTTGACTTCGCAGAGATTAGGATGAAAGCCCAGCAAATGGGAAAGCTTGAGACAACTTGGAGGTGAAGAACGGCTGCAGGACTTGGGTTTGGCTAAAGAAAAGAAGAAATAGGGGAGACATGATAGCAGTGTTCCAGTGTTTGAGGGGCTGCCACAAAGAAGAGGGGGTCAAATTATTCTCCAAAGCACCAGAGGGCAGGACAAGAAACAATGGTTGGAAATTGACCAAAGAGAGAAGCAACCTGGAATTAAGGAGAAAGTTCCTAACAGTGAGGACAGTTAACCAGTGGAACAGCTTGCCTTCAGAAATCATGGGCACTCCATCCCTGGAGGTTTTTAAGAAGAGACACTAGACCAGTGGTTCTCAACCTGTTTAATGCCGCGACCCCCAACCGGTCGTAAGTCGAGGACTACTCAACCGGTCGTAAGTCGAGGACTACTCAACTGGTGCAGTACCGTTTGCAGAATGGGACTTTTGGTGGGCTCAGCAGGGCAGAGACAGCCTGGACAATTCCTATTGGCTTTTGAAAGCCAATAGAATTAAACTCTATTCAAGAGAGTCTATTCTATTGGCTTTCAAAAGCCAATAGAATAAAAGGGAGTAGCACAACTAAGGAAAAGGAGAAAAAAATGGCAGACTGCATTGTTTGGCACCCGCGTGAAATGGTTGTTCGACCCCAAATGGGGTCCCGATCCACAGGTTGAGAACCACTGCACTAGACAGTTACTTGTCTGAAATGGTGGTGAACCTATGGCACTAGTGCCAGAGGCGGTACTCGGAGCCCTCTCTGTGGGCACTCATGCCGTCGCCCCGCCTCCCCCGTAGCTCCCTCCTCACCAGCAGCTCCCCCCCCCGGAGAATCACCCCTGGGTGCAGCCAGTGTGGAGCTGCACAGCCAAGCACATGGCAGCTGGGCAGCAGATGATGCTGTAGGGTGCAGGCGGAGGGCATGGTCACCATGGCGCTGCAGGGCCGCCTGGGCAACCTGCAGCGTGCCATGGATGGCCCTGAGGGTGAGTGGGGTGAGGGCGGAGCAGGGCAGGATTGGGCAGGTGGAGCAGGGGCCAGGCGGTTTTTGGGCACTTGGTCTCTAAAAGGTTCGCTATCACTGGTATAGATTCTCCTGCTTGAGCAAGGGGGCTAGACTAGAAGACCTCCAAGGTCCCTTCCAGCTCTATATTCTATTCTATTCTATTCTATTCTATTCTATTCTATTCTATTCTATTCTAAAGCATCATCAGGAAGATATGATAAGCAGAGATTGATGGCTTGCAAATCTGTGACCACTGAATCAACAGCCCAGTCTCAACATTGCTTTAAAATTCAAGGACTGTCCTCTGCCCTTCCTGTGATGCAACGGTATCATATGCACGTGGATATTATTGTTATATACAAGTTGTTTGCTGCCAGTTATTTACGCGGCTAGCATTGGCTTTCATACACATCGTGTTCCCCCACCCCCCAAACCTAGAATATCAGGGTAGGGTGTGCAAGCCTTGTGGACTTTCACAATTAACAGATGGTAACTGATAGATGGGAATTGACACATTCAATGCATAGATTTTGTAGAATAGAATAGAATGGAATAGGAATAGAATGAATTAGAATTATTTTATTGGCCAAGTGTGATTGGACACAAAAGGAACTTGTCTCCGATGCATAAACTGTCAGTATACATACAAGCGGCAAGTGATAAATCATGGTCATAATCATAAAGTACAATCATCATAAATCATATAATTTATGTAAGTGAATGTCCAAGATTTTTTAATGTCCAAGATTTTGTAAGTGCTGTCCAAGATTTTTTGGTATAGCCACTGTGACCACCGCAGCCAGTGTGTGCAATAGTTTTCAACTTTGATTTTGATACTTTGTGATCTTCTCCAATTCTTTGCCTTCTGTTCAGTGTTATCCTCCTTTTTTATATAAACATAATTCAAAGTAGCAAACACACTAAATCCTTCTGCCTATTTTCTCCACCACTCCAACCCTCTGCAGTGGGCTGGGCTGAGCAAGAGGGACTGGTCCAAAGTCACCCAGCTGACTTTCATGCCCAAAGCAGACCTAGAATTCACAGACTCCCAGTTTTTAAGCCACCTCCTGAACCACTGCATCAAATTGACTCTTAATTTATTCAGAAGAATAAATTGATTGGAGCTTTCTAGAGCAGTGGTTCTCAACCTGTGGGTCGGGACCCCATTTGGGGTCGAACGACCATTTCACGGGGATCGCCAAACAAGGCTGTCTGCCATTTTTCCCCCTTTTCTTTGGCCACGCCCCTGGCACCTGATGATGTATAAGTGGTTGGGGGTCACCACAACATGGGGAACTGTATTATGGGGTCCCAGCATTAGAAAGGTTGAGAACCACTGCCATATTGGGACAGTAATACCTGTGGCGTGCTAGCATGTCTATCAGCTGTTTCAAAAACAGTGATAATCTCAGGTCTAATGTGAAGACTTGGCTCTCTGGAGAAGGATCTGATACTGGGAAAGATGGAAAGAAAGAGACGAAGAGAATGATCAGCAACAAGGAGGATGCATTTAGTTAGAGCAATGGTTCTCAACCTTTTTAATGCCGCGACCCCCAACCGGCCGTAAGTTGAGGATTACTCAACAGGTTGTAAGTCAAGGACTACTCAACTGGTGCAGCACCATTTGTAGAATGGGACTTTTGGCGGGCTCAGCAGGGCAGAGCCAGCTTGGACAATTCCTATTGGCTTTTGAAAGCCAATAGAATTAGACTCTATTCAAGAGAGTCTATCCTATTGGCTTTCAAAAGCCAATAGAATAAAAGGGAGTAGCACAGCTAAGGAAAAGGGGAAAAAAATGGCGGACTGCGTTGTTTGGCGACCCCTGTGAAATGGTCGTTCGACCCCAAATGGGGTCCCGACCCTCAGGTTGAGAACCACTGCAATATGGGGATATGCTGCTCCTTTCCTGCCAGTTCTGGCAGGAAAATGTTTCCACTTTACAGATAGCGTGGAGGAGGGATTCCCTTGGGCGGAACTGCCTTGACTTGTCAGATCAAAGTTCTTTTCTTTGCTTGTTATGTTTATATATCACCGGATTCAACAAAAACAACTCCCAGGGGTTTACAACATATAAACATAAACAGAGAATAAAAACATAACTCCCAGTAAAAAAACACAAACGACCATAAAAACAATACTCAAAGTATATCGGGTAACCTTCAAGGTTTCTTTGTTACCACTGTATTTCTAAAGGACCAATTATGAGAATGCCAATCTAACCTTCAGGAGGAAGATCTCCATCCAGACCCCTTGGAAAACGCAAAAGAAAAATACAGATAGTCCTTGACTTAGGACCATAATTGAGACCAGAATTCCCATTGCTAAGCCAAGAGGTTATTAAGTGAGTCGCACCTGATTTTACAATCAATTTTGTTAAAAAAAAATCACAAACAGTTGTTAAGTGAATTTGACCTTCCCCATTAACTCTGCTTGTCAAATGCTAACAGGGAAAGTGGTAAATGGTGATCACATGACCCTGGGACTTTGCAACTATCATAAATGTCAACGCTGCTAACATCGGATGTTTTTGCTTTGACAACAGATGGAGATGCAACCATTTTCTTCTTATGTTTTACTCTTACAGTTAGAGTTAGATGATGCTGGGGGGAGGAATGTGCATGAGAGTTTAGCTAGACATAACAATACTGGACCTAGTGTGTGAACCAAGGTTATTGAAATAAGAGATGATCAGAATCAGGCGAGAAAGCCTGCATTTCAAACGAATTGGAGAATGTGATTTATGACTGTTAATTGGAGGAGGGAATTGTGTTTTGATACTATGTGCTCAGGGGAGGGGAATCCAGTTTTTGGCTTCCATTGTGTTAGTGCTGATGCTATGCTTCTCTAATAAAGATTCTTTTAGGTAAATAATGCCTCGAAGTTCTTTGAAGAGTTCCATCTCTTGGAACCATGACAATAAATACATGCCAATTGCCAAGCACCCAAATTTTGATCACATGACTGTGGAAGATACTGTGGCACTCTTAAATGTGAAGTCAGTCCGCTCACCTGCCACTTTTTTCGATGCTTTTGTAACTGAATGGTTGCTAAACAAATGGTTGTAAGTTAAGGACTACCTATATTGTGGTGTTTTTGGTGCTCTCTGAGCTTGGTTATTTGCTTGCTGCTCCCAGAATCCCTAGCCAACTGCACTTCAATCTGGTGGGCACCAGGTTGAGGAAGGTTATATTAGGTTTTTTGACCTGAACTTAGAGGAGTCAGATTGATGCAAGTAACAAAAGTATGACCAGCCAGAATTCAACAGTTCCAGTTTCAGCAAACACAGCGTCTCTGTAACAAGGAGCATCACTAACACAGGACAATAGATAATCTACCATTTTTCAAACCATCACAGAATAATACAATGTAAAATTGCATCTATATGAGTTCTTCTGACAGTTATTGATTTAAAACAGCATCCAGAACCAGGTATCCAGACCCAGATCAAAAATTTTGCCTGAGTTACGTGCAATTTTTATATCTCTAACTACCATCTATTAACATAAAGCACCAGCTAGGGCAAGAAGTTTCACCTTAAGGGAAAAAATTAACTCTGGGTATAAGAGTAAACACATCACTTGTTTTAAAACTAAAAAAATTAAACTTCACATTTTACTAATTGTCAGTTTTGGCTATTACTGTATTCCTAACTCCAGTTACAAAGTGAAATATTGTGGAGACAGAGGAAGTAGATGCCCTGGAATTGTGATCGTCCTCAACTTACAGCCACAATTGAGCTCAAAATTTCCATTGCTAAGCAAGACAGTTGTTGAGTTTTTCCCCATTTTATGACCTTTCGTGCCCCAATCGTTAAGTGAATCATTGCAGTTGTGAAGTTAGTAACATGGTTGTCAGGTGAATTTGGTTTCCCCATTGACTTTGCTTGTCAGAAGGTCGCTAAAGGTGATCACAAGACTCCAAAGATACTGCAACCATCATAAATATGAGTCAGTTGCCGAGCATCTGAATTTCGATTACGTGACCATGCGGGTGCCGCAATGGTTGTAAGTGTGAAAAACAGTCATGAGTCACTTTTTTCAGCACCATTGTAACTTTGAACGGTCACTAAATGAACTGCTGTAAGTCAAGGGCTTCCTGTATCCCCACTGCAGTACTCTTCCACCTCTAGGATGCTCAGAGTCTGGGAAATCCAACAGGCACTGTCCCACACGGCACTTTCCCACAAATCAGCATCGCGCGTTACACCGACCTTTCGGTCTTTCTAGCCACTTGCAATCTCTATCCATTACTCGCAGCCATCTCCCCAAAACATCACGGTTGGGGGCGTGGGAGAAAGAGGGAGAGAGAAAATCTCCTCCCCACTGGAGGAGAGCCCAAGACGCGAGCGCTCCCTTCCCCGTGCAGAACGCGCTAGTGAACGTGGGAAGGTGGCGCGAGCGTGCAAAATGCCTCGGGAAAGCTTCTCGCTGCTGCAAGGTGAGCGAGGGAAAGTGGGACGGGCCCGGGACGCAGGGCAAGGAAGAGGAGGCTCCGAGAAGGCAGGGAGGGAGCAGCCGGCAAGGCCAGAGGCGCCGATCTCCCGAAGCCACCGCCTTCCCCGGCCAGAACTGCTCGGCGCGTAAGTCCTGGCAACCTCTCTCTTTCCAGCAGCGCGTCTAGATCAGGAAACGGAGCGAAAGGGACGCGCGGAGAGCAAACCCCTTCCCAATGGGGTTTGTTGGGAACGTGGGACGGCTGTTTATTTTCTTGGAGTCGAGGCCGGCCCCCCGCATCTTTGCACCGACGCCAGCCCTGCGGGGGCGAAGCAATTCCGCGGGATCGCGTGGCCTTTGGTCTCTTGAGAAGGCAGCCTTCCTTGAGTTCTCTTGGACTTACTTTCCGGTAAGCGTGCTGCAATCCTATACCTGTTTGGTAATCCTCGCTGAACTCAATGGGCTTTCTTTCTTTCTAGGGGAGCAAATAGTGAGCTGCACTACTGCAGGTGGCGTAGTATTAGAGCCAGGAAGATTTACTCCTTGGAAAACGCAGATTCAGATTCCCTGCCATCGATCCTGAACCCCACTGGGTCACTTTCTCCCATTGCAATCTCTAAACTTAACTTGCCTTGCAAGCTTGTTAAGAATAGGAACAAAAGGTGGACTAGCCGGTCTTTGGAAGGATAAACACACTAGAGGCCCTCCAGTCCAGCTCAGCTGCAGGTGACGGCATGAACTGTCCATGTTGTTTTCTGGGCAATAATTACAACACTCTGACATTACTTTTTCCAGTGTTTCCGCCCCTCCTCTGAATTATCCCATCCAATTTACAGCAGCGGGATTTCCCCCATTCAGTTACCAAATCTCCCACCCACATATGTTATTATGCCAGGGCAAATGTATAACAGCACTTGCCACATATTAATTTATATGATACAAATGTGTGTTAACCTTTTGATTCCAATAGCATTAAAAAAAATAATCACAAAAAACTAAGGAGAACTAAGGAGAAACTTCCTGACAGTGAGAACAATTAACCAGTGGAACAACCTGCCTCCAGAAGCGGTGAGTGCTCCAACACTGGAAGTTTTTTAAAAAGAGACTGGACAGCCATTTGTCCGAAATGGTATAGGGTTTCCTGCCTGAGCAGGGGGTTGGATTAGATGACCTCCAAGGTCCCTTCCAACTTTATTATTATTATTATCATTCATCGCACAGTCAGCCAGATGTTCAGACTGGATTTGGCATTTTGTCTACATATCGAGTCCTTACCCAGGACCTGGGATAGGCAGATGTGGATGTTTGATGGTATTACAGATATCGTCGCAGGATGGAAGCAGTTCCTAATAAGGCCGCCTTTTGCAATTGACTAATAGCGAATTTGTCAATGCCAATGGTGTTCAAGTGGTGCTCCAGTTGTTTTGGGATTGCACCCAAGGCACCTATGACTATTGGTATACCCTTGCTTGCTTTTGCCACAGTCTTTCTATTTCTATTTGTAGGTCTTTGTATTTTGTTATCTTCTCCAGTTCTTTCTCTTCTATTCTGCTGTCTCCAGGCACTGCCACGTCCACTATCCAGACTTTTTTGTCTTTCTTATCGACAATTGTTAAGTCTGGGGTGTTATGTTGCATGTGCTTGTCTGTTTGAATTCTGAAGTACCAGAGCAGTTTAATTTTATCATTTTCTATGACTTTCTCTATTTTATGATCCCACCAGTTTTTGCTTACAGGCAAATGATATTTTTTGCAGATCTTCCAATGCACCATTGTTGCTACTTTGTCATGCCGGTGCTTGTAATCAGTTTGTGCAATATTCTTGCAACAGCTTACCAAGTGGTCCACTGTTTCTTCAGCTTCTTTGTATAGGCGGCACTTCTGTCTGTTGCTTGTCTTCTCAATTTTGACTTTGTATTCATTGTCCTTAAGCTTGGTATTGTGCAGCCAGAATTAGTACCTAGGTCTCTTTCTTCAATTTTCCTGCCTCTTAGCCATTGCCAGGTTTTATTATTATCTGCTTTCCAATCTATTTTTTCATGTTTGGCATGTAGTGCTTTGTCTCCCAATGGCCTCTATCTGTTCTTCATTTGGACTTTCTTGTAGCCAGTTTGTTTGGTCTCTCCAGTAGTTAGTAAGCCTTCCTGATATACTAATTTCAGGTGCATCTTCATCACTGTCTTCAGATGTTCTTTCAAAGCTATTTTTTCTTCTTCAACCATCTGATGTAGCATTCCATGCCCACCTATTGCCTTGGTAGATAAAGTCTATCAATGTCACTGCGTGGATGAAGGGCATGATTCATTGTCATTATTTTTCTGGTCTGCCTATCCATTGCTTTTAGTTCTGCTTGAGTCCAGTCCACTATTCCAGCTGTGTACCTAATGACTGGGATTGCCCAGGTGTTGATTGCCTTTATGGTATTTTCTCCATTGAGTTTGGACTTTAAGATCTTCTTCACTTTCTTAATGTATTCACCTCTAATCTTTTTCTTGACTTCAGTGTGCTTGATGTTGTCAGCTGAAGGATACCCAAGTATTTGTAGTACTCTTCCTCATCCAGACTCTTAATGTTATTTTCGTGGGGCATCTTGATTCCTTCAGTTTTCATTATTTTTCCTTGTTTGATAGTAAGTGTGGCACATTTGTCCAAGCCAAACTCCATTACAATATCTTGGCTAAATATACGGACAGTGTTGAGCAGCGATTCTATTTCAGATGATGTTTTTCCATACAGCTTCAGATCATCCATATAAAGGAGGTGGGATAGTCTGGCAGATGTTTTTGATGTTTGATAGCCATGTCCTGAGTTATTCAGTATTGTTGACAGAGGAAACCGTGCAATAACAAATAGTAATGGTGATAATGAATCTCCTTGAAATATTCCTCTCTTGATATTAACCTCTCCCAGCCTCTCACCATTGATCTGCAACTGTGTCTTCCATTGTGCCATCGTTCTTTGCACAAATTTTCTGATGTTTCTACTGACTCCTGTTAGTTCTATGGCACTTTATTATCCAATCATGTTTGGCAGAGAGTCAAATGCCTTTTTGTAGTCAATCCATGCCACATTCAGATTGGTCTTCCTGTCCTTGCAGTTTTCCAAGATCATTTTGTCTATTTAGGAGTTGATCTTTTGTTCCTCTGCTATTGGGGCAGTTTCCTTTCTGCTCAGGTGGAGAGAGATTGTTTTCAACTAGATGCTGTTGTACTGCATCAGCTACCACACCAGTTAGTAATTGAAAGTTGTTGGTAAGCAGGTAATTGGCCTGTAGTTGCCTGGTGTTGCCCCTTTTGCTGGATTTTTCATTATTAGGTAGGTTTTCCCAGTTGTTAGCCACTTTTCAATTTCTCTTCCTTGTAGTATATTGTTGAAATCGACTTGGCAAATGAGTGAGTGTATAACAGTTAGATGTTTCAACCAAAACCCATGCAGTTCATCTTCACCTGTGAATGACCAATTTTGATTTTCTTTGCTCTTTTTTTTCTTACCATTTTGTTGTATTACTAGTTCTTTCATTTCAACTTCTGTTTTATTTGCATCCACCTCTTTTTAACCCAAGCCGCATTCCTTGTTGTATTTCTTTGGGTTATCCCATATCTGCTTCCAGAACTGCACTGTTTCTTCCTTGTCAGGTACTGCCTGATTCCTTGCAGTTTCTCCATTGATGGATTGGTAGAAATGTTTCTGATTGGATTGAAATTGGAGGTTCTGCCTATAGTTTGCAATTCGAGCTTCATATTACTGATTTTCCTGGCTATAGCTGTTATTTGTTGCTTTATTATTTCCAGTGCTTCCTTGATCTTCCTTGTTTCTAAGTGGTATTTCTTGATTAGGTATTCTTTGGTCTTCTTGTTCTTCAGCTTCTTTTCTTTCATCTGTTCTAGCTTGCTTGCATGTGATCTTAACTTGCTGATCTTATTTCTAGTCTAACCTTCCATTTTTGTGGTGCACTGTTTGTTTGTTTTTCTTCTTTGTTGATTTTGCATCCCAGGTATTCTGTTATAACTGCAGCTGTGCTGTACATTAGTTGGTTTGTTTCTTGCAGTGAATTGGTGCTTATGCTTGCTATTGCAGTATTTGCATCTTTTAATGCTTGTGCTAGCTGTTTCTTTGAAACAAGCTTCAATGCAGGCAGCCTTATTCTGTTGTTTTTGTGCTGTTCTAGATGCTCAGTTATTCTTTGTTTCAATTCTTTTATTTCTTTAGTTAGAGGGTTTTGTTCTTCCTGAGGAAGAGGTGCCTGGTTTCCAAATGAGAACAGTTTTATATCTCTACTGGATTCTTTCACTGCCAACTTCCCCTGGTTTGCCTCTACATTCTGAATTACTTCTGGTAAGGCTTTGATTTCTTTGCCCTGGGTAAACCTTTGCAATTCGTCCAATTCTGTTTCTGTGAATACTTTATTTCGTGTTATAAATCGGCGTTGATCTGCTAGTCTCTGTTCTGTTATTTCTGATTCTGGATGTTGTTCTTTCCCGAACTGGTGCATTCGTTTTAGATATCCTCTTCTTGTTGGACTTGATCTGTAGTAACAGATCATTATTTCTTTGTTTTCCATCACTGTGTATCTGCGACGGGTAAACACCTTTTCTTCCAGTAGTTCTGCAGCTGCTGGCCCTGGTTGCTCAGCCAACAGTCCTGAGTCCTGTACCCCATTTTTCACCAGATATCCAGGAACTCCAATATCTAGCGCGGACCTTGTTAACCGGCGACATCCGAGCCAGTATGGCATTCTGAAATTTACGTTTACATATTTTTTATGGGAGGAGACACTCTTTGTCTGACTCCTCTGATGAGACCTGTCCAGTATGGTTGAACCTCTGGCATAGCTCTCATCTTCCTCAGAGTACACAAGCCCCACAACACTCAAGGTAGTGCCTCACTGGGGGATTATTATTATTATATATTATTATTATTATTATATTATTATTTTTCATTTGTTTAATTTGCATAGACCAGTGGTTCTCAGCCTTTTTAATGCCGCGACCCCCACCCGGTCGTAAGTCGAGGACTACTCAACCGGTTGTAAGTCAAAGATACTCAACTGGTGCAGCACAGTTTGCAGAATGGGACTTTTGGCGGCTCAGCAGGGCAGAGACAGCCTGGACAATTCCTATTGGCTTTTGAAAGCCAATAAAATTAAACTCTATTCAAGAGAGTCTATTCTATTGGCTTTCAAAAGCCAATAGAATAAAAGGGAGTAGCACAGCTAAGGAAAAGGGGGAAAAAATGGTGGACTGCGTTGTTTGGCGACCTCCGTGAAATGGTCGTTCGACCCCAAATGGGGTCCCGACCCACAGGTTGAGAACCGCTGGCATAGACAGTATTTAGATGTATGCATTCTCTGGGATTGTATATAGTTGCAAACCTGTATAATTTGGAGATGTGAAAAACAACAGAAAAGGGGGCCTAGTCTTGTTCTGCAGCTTAACAGATAGAAGTTTTGTTTTGGGGCAAAGATAAAAAGAAAATGAAAACCACCGTAGCCCCTTCCCCTTCTTTCTTTTAGCTAACATTCAAGGTAGACTGTCCTTCTTCCTCTGCTTCAGAGATCCAGTTCCGCAGTACAGAAAGATGGACTAACACCTTTTTCTACACACACAACTCAAAGTTTTGGAACGAACAGAGACAGGCAGGTCAAGTTACTAGTCTGCCCTGTGAAAAACTGACAAAGCTGGTTATGTTGCTTTCAGGCTACCTGTGATAAAGGTAGAGGAATTGCTGTTTTTTTTTTTAATTTTTGCTTTGTTTTGTTTTCCTTCTCTGCAAGTTGACTTTTAGAAAACAAAGTATAACTATTCATATTACATCATGAGATAATTTTTCCAACAGGTTGTTGCCCCCTCCCCAGAGATGCAAAAGGCAGCTGTTCCTGCTATCTTTCTTAGATGCATAGCATATATTTTCTTAGATATATAGCATGTATTTCCTTAGATGTCTGAAATGGTATCGGGTCTTCTGTTTGAGCAGGGGATTGGACTAGAAGACCTTTAAAGTCCCTTCCAGCTCTATTCTGATTGATTAATGTGCTTTTTTTCCCCTGTTACTATTTTGAGACTCTGCAGGAAAATAATGTTGACTCCTTTGTACATCAGAGAAGAGGAAATTTTGATGGGCTAGGGGTTGACTGCACCTGTCAGTTTTCTCTCTTTTCCAAAATTATTCAAATGTGTTCCAAAACAAGGTGGAGAATCATTGGAGCTCTTAATAATGCTGAAGTATAACTTTCAGGCAGTCTCTCAATTAAGCAGGCCCTAGGCCCGTGGTGGCGAACCTATGGCACATGTGCTACAGATGGCACGCAGAGCCCTCTCTGGGCACGCGCGCTGTCACCCCAGTCCTAGGCCTTCAGCTGGGTTTTATAAAACCTTTTCACTTTAGGCCTCTGCTGCCATGTGCAAAAAAAAAAACAAAAAAAACAAGGTTCAATCAACCAATCAATTTCAACTTTTCATGGAAAAAAAAAGATCTCGCAAAGTTGGAATTGATTGATTGAACTTTTTAGTCCCACTCAGTCTGCCGTTACCACCACAGCCATGTCCACCCAATGGGCTGCACCCACCCAATGGGCCACACCCACCCAATGGGTCACGCCCATCTGGCACCTGACTAAACATAAGTGGGTTTTGGGTTGCAGTTTGGGTACTCGGTCTCTAAAAGGTTCACCATCACTGCCCTAGGCTATGAGGGCTTTATAGGTAATGATCAGCACCTTGAGCTGTACCCAGGAGCAAACTGGCATTTAGTGCAGTTCAAGAAACGGGTGTTATCCGGGCATATTAACTATACTACCATCACATTCTATGGGATATACTAGAAAATAATGAGGTATGGCTACATTTATATGACCCACCTTGAATTTTGTCCTTAACTTCTCTCCTATTACCTTGTTTCCAGGACCAGTTTTCTAGCCAGGAATAAAAATGCAGGCATTCACAAGCTCTGAGCAAGCTCCAGGGGAGAAAATGGAGGAAGGAGGACGCGATCGTAATGTTCTCCAGGAGGACTGTGTTGGAAAAATTCTATCCAATGTGGATCCCCTGCAGATTAAAGGAGAGCAAGTTGTGGAGCTGGATTCCGAAGGTCCATGGTGTAACATCCAGAAAGGAACTCATTCAAAAGAAAGCCAACCTCAGCTGCCTGGATCCGAAGAGTGGGATGACCATAATTCTTCTATCACATTGTTAGGGGCCATTGCTCGTGCCAACCCAGGTCTTAGAAGAATGGTTGCATCTGAAATCCTACCAGGCTTTTGTAGGAAAGCTCATGCCACCTCCGAAAGCTTGGATTGTCCTCTGAAAGCTGGAGAGGAAGCACTGGAGAAGGACAAGATCAGTTTGGAGCAACCGTGCCAGCGATTCAGGCAGTTTCGCTATGAGGAGGCTGAGGGACCTCGAGAAGCACTTGGGCACCTCCAGGATCTTGGCTCTCAATGGCTGAAGCCTGAAAGTCACACAAAGGAGCGGATCATAGAGCTGGTGATCCTGGAACAGTTCCTGGCAATTCTGCCGTCAGAGATGCAAAACTGGGTTAGGGAAGATAACCCAGAGACCTGTCTCCAAGCGGTGGCCGTAGCAGAAGATTTCTTGCTGTGGAAAGAAGAATCTGAAATACAAGAAGAGCAGGTGAGTAGTTTGATCAACCAGAGGGGACTAATGGAAGATAATATTTGTAGCTCAGGGTTGAACTGTAGGGCTCGTGATGCTCTCTGTGCTTGGTTGTTTTCTTGCAGACTTTTCATTACCCAACTAGGTGACATCTTTAGTGCTAGAAGGGAGTGGGGTTTGCTCTGTTTATGTACAGTGACTTTTCCTGTCAGGATTGTTGGGACAAAAACGAGGTGACCAAAATGCCTCCTTAACAGTAATCAACCCCCAGATAAGCAGGGGTTAACGCTAGGATTAATACCAAATCAACAATCAGTAAAAATCAAATAGTAAACAACAGCCTAATCAAGGAGCTATCAAAAAGAAAACAGCATTTCCACCAACACTGACATGATTTGTTCCAGGATATAGACTCTGAAATTGTGTAATGTTCCTGCTCGCTGCATGAAACAGCTAATTAATTAATTCATTCGTTCATTAGAAATTACACCCACTTACAAGAACCATTAAGTTACTGTTATCTAATTTGTGAATCACATTTACAGTTTTCCTTCAAATGAAGTTTATTGATGAAAATGGGCACACGTGCGTGCACACACACACAGAATCTGGATCTTCACAAACCCTCAGCCATTTCCTGCAAACCAAATCTAATTTAATATATTTGACCCACATAGTAAATAGGATGCTTTTGCGGGGGGGGGGGATCTGTTAATTTCAGGGTAAAAAAAACTAACCAAAAGGATGTCATCCTCCCACATTTCTTATAAGGTTGCATGTATGTATGTATTATTATGTAGTATGTATACACATTGGCTATAATATTGTAACACGTTGCTAAATCTGAAAGTTTTCCATTAAATATTCTTAAATCTTCAGGTCTTGCTGTGGTCTTTTTTTTTTTCAGACCAGTTCCATCAAAATAAAACAGCCTTTGTTGGAAACAGGAAAGGTGGCAGCTGAACAAAGGGCAGATCATCAGATCCACTTGTTAGGTAAGATTTGAATCACAGGTCATAGAGTCATAGGGCTGGAAGGGACCGTATTCTACTCTAACTTCCTGCCCAAGGCAGGAGTCCTTATAACATCCCCAGACAAATAGTTGTCCAGTCTTTTCTAGAAGACCTCCAGCAATGGGGCACCTACAACTTGGGGAGGCAGGCTGTTCCATTGATTAATCATTCTCACTGTCAAGAAATTCTTCCTTATTTCCAGGTTGGATCTCCCTTTGACTAGCTTCTACCCCAGCGGTTCTCAAACTGTGGGTCGGGACCCCATTTGGGGTCGAACGACCATTTCACGGGGGTCGCCAAACAACGCAGTCCGCCATTTTTTTCCCCTTTTCCTTAGCTGTGCTACTCCCTTTTATTCTATTGGCTTTGAAAGCCAATAGAATAGACTCTCTTGAATAGAGTCTAATTCTATTGGCTTTCAAAAGCCAATAGGAATTGTCCAGGCTGGCTCTGCCCTGCTGAGCCTGCCAAAAGTCCCATTCTGCAAACGGTGCTGCACCAGTTGAATAGTCCTCGACTTACGACCAGTTGGGGGTCGCGGTATTAAAAAGGTTGAGAACCACTTTCTACCCATTGCTTGGCCAATTTGGATTTTGCAAAATTTCTAATGTACTTCTGAGTGGTTTTCCTAAACTTATGACTTATGTACTTGCATCCAAATTAGGGACACTTGTATATATGTAAGGGTGGGGCTTGTGCTGTAACATAACAACACTTAGGGTTTTTTAATGGGGGGGGGATAGGATCATCATATCACCTATGTTGCTCTCTGTTTTACTGGGGAGAAGCAATGAAATGTTAAATGTCAAAATCCTCTTCACAGATTCATTACTCTCTGTTATTTCTTATAGAAATGGTTGAAAACAAGCGGAGGCCATTTATGAAAGGAATTTCTCAACTGATGGGACTTACTGGGGTTCCATTTGATAAAGCCAAAGGGGAAATTTTCTCCTTGCCCCCAATGGGAAGGATGGCAATATGTCATCAAGAGACAGAGAGGAATGAAGGGAGGCCCTTAGAGCAAGGAGAAGCCAAAAAACATACCTGTGAGAAACAAGATGACAAAATCTTCAGTCGAAACAGCTGGGAGAGAATGCCCAGAGAAAATGCTCATGACCTTTCTAAGGGTCAAAAATTGGAAGCTGAAAAAAAGCCATCCCAATCTAATGAGGACGGTGAACATTGGGAGTCCATTTTTGAGCAGAAGAAACAAATGAGAATAGACTCGACCATGGATGGTCAGGATGGGTTGCATCAAAAAGTTAATCAAAGTAGTCTGCAGAGGATCCCTGTTGGAGAGAAACCATACGAATGTTCCAAGTGTGGGCACGATTCCAGTCAGACCTTAGATCTGAGGGGAGGAAGTCTTCGTATATGTTTGAATTGTGGTAAAAGCTTTCTCTCCAGTTCGTCCACAGGAAAGCAAGAGAATGCATATGATGAAGAGAATCCATCCAGACATTCAGAACATGAGAAGAGGACCCCACAGCCTCCTGACTTTCAGATGGGAGAGAAACCATACATGTGCACGGATTGTGGGAAAAACTTCAGCTTTAGGTCAAGTCTTGTCCGCCATCAGAGACTCCATACTGGAGAGAAACCATACAAATGTTTAGACTGTGGAAAGAATTTCAGCCAGAGTTCAAACCTTCTGAACCACCAGAGGATCCACACAGGGGAGAAACCATACAGCTGCACCGACTGTGGGAAATCTTTCAGCAACAGTTCAAGCCTGACATCCCACGAGAGAACTCACAGGGGGGAGAGACCGTATAAGTGCGCCAGCTGCGGGAAATTTTTTAGTTGCAACTCAGTTCTCCGAATCCACGAGAGGATTCACACAGGGGAAAAGCCCTACGTGTGTTTGGAGTGTGGGAAAGGCTTCAGCCGGAGAGAATTCCTGGTTGGCCACCAAAGAACTCACACAGGGGAGAAACCGTACGAATGTGCAGAATGTGGGAAGAGCTTCAGTCAGCGATCCAACCTGATTAATCATCAGAGAAGCCACAGGGGAGAGAAGCCCTTTGAGTGCTTGGACTGTGGGAAAAAATTCAGTCACAAAGCGTCCCTCTTGAAACACGAGAGAAACCACGCGCATGGGCCAACCGTGGACAAGGATTTAGCCAGAACTGATGCAATAATGCATGTGGAACATAGCATGAATATGGGGTAGATCTCCTCAACGGTTGTCAACAAACAGAAATTCCACATACGAATGACACAAGGTTTTGCTTCCTTTGAAGGTAACCATCTTTTCGGCCTAAAATAAAACAGAAGGAGCAATTCATAGAGTTGAAGCAGTGAGGAAGAAAATGTTGATAGTAGGTCAAGCTTCCCCTGAGGTTGTCTCTTTTTCTATAAAGACTGTGGCAGACATTTTTTGCATCCCAAATATCACCTATCTGGCACAGAAGAAAGGAATCTGCAAGCTTGGAACACTGAGGTTTTCAGACTTGTCAAAAATTAAAGTAAATGGGTCTCTCCCCCGCCCCTCCAAAGACCTCCAAGGTCCCTTCCAACTCTCTGTATTCTATAGAAAAAGAAAGAAGGGCTGAGCATGCTCAGTAAGCACTGGGAAGGTGAGCAGGAAGGATAATGCAATGATGTACCCTGAAAAAGGGCACGGCTGACAGAATTGTCACTAGTTCTTGGTGTATCTAATTTTTACTACACTCACAAACAGTGCCACAGATTCATGGTGTGGGTGTCACAGTGTTTCTTAGCTCAGAAGGTTCTTTCAAACTTGCCACCGCCACCAGAGAAAGCAGTCTGGTGCCATTCAGTGTCTGCTGTGGGCTTTCCTCAACCTCTTGCCTTAGAATGCGGCGCTTAGAATTCTGGGAGTTGCAGTTCAGCTGTGTGGCCTTCTAGGGAGCAGATCCCAGAATGCATCTGGAAGGAGGGCAGCAGGTGGGGAAACTGTATTGCCACGTTCTGTGGGTATGGCTAAGTCCCCCCACGCTTGTCCAGATGCAAACAAGAAGTTTGTACTGGGGTCCATTTTACCTGCACCCGGCTTCTTTGTTGTGCAAGACTGTGGCTGTAGAAAGTACAAGTAAGTCCTTGACTTACGACCACACAAACTCTATCATGCGAAATTGTAATATTCCAAGTTTGTAAGGATGATTGAAATAATGTAAAAAGTTCACTGAGGATATACAGGTAATCCTTGACTTACAACAGTTCATTTAGTGACCGTTCGAAGCTACAACGGTATTGAAGTGATTTATGACCATTTTTCACAGTTACGACCATTGCGGCATCCCCATGGTCACATGATCAAAGTCCAGATGCTTGGCAACTGACTCATATTTATGACATTTGCAGTGTTCCGGGTCATGTGATCGTCTTTTTCAATCTTCTGACAAGCAAAGTCAGTGAGGAAACCAGATTCGCTTAACCGCCATGTTACTAAAATAACAACTGCTATGATTCATTTAGCAATTGTGGCAAGGAAAGTCGTAAAATGGAGCAAAGCTCAATAAGTGTCTCACTTAGCGACAGAAATTTTGGCTTCAATTGTGGCCATACGTCGAGGACAACCTGTACTGAATCTTTCCTATCCAAGTTGTCGTAAGTTGTAATGTTATTCATACCAGTTAATCTTCCTATACAGATAGTCCTCAACTTATGATTACAAGTGGGACTGGAATTTCCATTGCTAAGCCAGGCAGTTGTTAAGTGAGTCATGCCCAATTTTACCACCATTTTCCCACAATTGATAAGTGAATCAGTGATAATCACACGACCATTGATCACACTGCAAACTTTGAAAATGCATGCCCGCTTTCTAGCACCCAAATTTTCTATAGTGGTTTGCTGCAGTGGTCATAAGTGCGAGGACTGGTTCTAAGTCATTTTTTCAGTGCTGTTGTAACTTCAAATGGTTGCTAAATGAATAGCTGTAAGTCAAGAACTGCCTGTATGACGGAACCTGCGTGATTGGTGCTCAGTGTACCAACCTGATATATCAAGTAGATCAAGAAGTTAAAAAAATGTAATTCTAAGAATCCTGAAATATTAAAGTGGGATTTAAAACAACTTTGGAGCATAATTGGAGCATAGTTCTTGTGATTGTTCTGCTAGCACAGAAGATTCAGGATCTAAAGAGTTTGAAGAATCTAAACTTGAATTTAAAGTGAGATTATATAAGAAATTATATTTGATAAAATTTTAGGCATCAGGGTTGCTAAGAATAGAATTAACTGTCAACGCTGCTAACATCGGATGTTCCTGCTTTGACAACAGATGGAAATGTAGCCATCTTTTCTCTATCGCTTTTAGAGTTTGTTAATGCTGGGAGGGGGAATGTGGATGAGAGTCCAGCTAGTCATAACAATAATAACTCAGCCATGGGAACCCAAGGTTATTAGGTCCAGAGGTGATAGAAATTTGTCTGGCAGGAGAGATGGGGAAAAAGCCCACACTTCAAGTGAATTGGGGAATGTGATTTATGACATTTAATTGGAGGAGGGAATTGCGCTTTGCTACTTTGTGCCAGGGGAGGGGGGTTCAATTTTTGGCTTCAACTGTAGTGCCGATACTTTGTTTCTCAAATAAAAGATTCTTTAAGGAAAACAATGCCTCGAAGTTCTTTTGAAGAGATTCATCTGTCGGAACCATGACATTAACCTGGCTAAGCAGTGATGGAATATATTGGGGAAAATAATGAAGAGTCATGATCATTAATTGGTTTCTATCAGTAAAGCAATCAGCTGAAAAATTATTTTATTACTAGAAGCCAGTATTGGAATTTTAATTAGGAGCTTGTCGTTAAAAGTATAGTTGTCTGTTTTTTCCTTCCTTTTTCAAATAAATTTATTTTAGTACAATACTGTATTTAATAGGAAATAGAAAACAATAAATCTTGCCTTTGTAATGAGTGTTTGGGTTTTTTAATCTCTGGATTTTTGCAGTGCAAGAGAAAATAGATTGAATTAGATTTACTTAATTAAAAAAATCTGAAAATCAGTTTGGTGCTGGGTTAGTAGCCAGGACACCGAAAGTTCTTCTTCTGCCTTAGATATGAAGCCAGTTGGGTGAGCTTGGCCAGTTCCTGTCTTTCAGCCCTAGGAAGAAGATAAGAGCAAACCAGTTTTGAAAATGTTGCCAGGAGTCAACACAAAGGACAAACACACACTCTTGTAGCTTGCCTTTCCAACATTATTGTGTATCTAGGTTCCACTAATGTTCTTTAGGTTTCTGGGTAGTTCCTAAGAGAGCTGGAACAATACACCACATTATTTATCTAGACCAGTGTTTCTCAACCTTGGATACCTTAACATGTGTGGACTTCAGTTCCCAGAAAGCCCACACATCTTAAAAGTGGACAAGGTTGAGAAACTTTGCTCCAGTGGAAGGTTCACACTCCATAAAATAACATCCGAGTGAATTGGTCTAGTGCAGGGGTAGGCAGCCTTGGCTCTTTTATGACTTGTGGACTTCAACTCCCAGAATTCCTGAGCCAGCTATGCTGAGGGGAAAGGGAGAGGTTTCCAAGCTGAGCCATGCTGACTCAGGAATTCTGGGGGTTGAAGTCCATGAGTCATAAAAGAGCCAAGGTTGGCTATCCCTGGTCTAGAGGTTAAGGCACCCGGCTAAAAAAACGGAGACCATGAGTTCTAGTCACATCTTAGCCATGAAAGCCAACTGGGTGACCTTGGGTCTGTTGCTCTTTCTCAATCCAACTCACTGCACAGGGTTGTGGTGGGGAAAATAGGAAGAAAGTGCATTGGATATGTTTGCCACCTTGAGTTATTTGTGAAAGTAATAAAGGTAGGGCATGCATACATACATACATACATACATACATACATACATACATATTGTTGTTAGTTGCGAAGTCATGTCCGACCCATCGCGACCCCATGGACAATGTTCCTCCAGGCCTTCCTGTCCTCTACCATCTTCTGGAGTCCATTTAAGCTCATGCCTACTGCTTCAGTGATTCCATCCAGCTATCTCATTCTCTGTCGTCCCCTTCTTCTATTGCCCTCAATCTTTCCCAGCATTAGGCCCTTCTCCAGTGAGTCCTTCCTTCTCATTAGGTGGCCAAAGTATTTGAGTTTCAACTTCAGGATCTGGCCTTCTAAAGAGCAGTCGGGGTTGGTCTCCTCTAGGACTGACCGGTTTGAATGCCTTGCAGTCCAAGGGACTCGCAGGAGTCTTCTCCAGCACCATAGTTCAAAGGCCTCAATTCTTTGGTGCTCAGTCTTTCTTATGGTCCAACTTTCTCAGCCATACATTGCAATTGGGAAAAACATACATACATACATACATACATACATACATACATACATACATTGGCTACCTATACCTGATGAGTCCCCAGTAGAAAACAGCCAGATACTTAAAGCCCATCTCCCAGGGTTGAACTGCCTTCCGCATGAAACAAACATTCAATCTCCCCTTCATGAAAATGCTAGGTCTATAATATTCTTGCACTCCAGTGATCAGCTTGGCTGTGTTTACCTAACATGTTCGACTAGACTTGTCAAAGAACCAACAGCTCTATTTGCTGCATACAAGAAACTGGGCTTAGCTTTTATCCTGGTTCAAATACAGATACTCCTCGGCTTACAAAAATTCATTTAGTAGCCGTTGAAGATACAACAGCACTGAAAAAAAAGGGACTTATGACCATTTTTCACATAACCACTGCAACTGACTCATATTTATGACGCTTGCAATGTCCCAGGGTCATGTGATCCCCTTTTGCAACCTTCTGACAGTCAATGGGGAAGCCAGATTCACTTAACAACCATGTTACCAACTTAACCATTGCAGTGATTCATTTAACTGTGGCAAAGGGTCGTAAAATGGGGCAAAACTCACTTAACAAATGTCTCACTTAGCCATATTAATTTTGGGCTCTGTTATGGTCGTAAGTCGAGGAACACCTGGACACATGCATGTTGGTTAGCATACTGTGGAAACACTGCCTTAGTTGAATATTTTACCATCCAGAATCGGACTATGGTGTGTATTCATCAATGATTTTATCCACGGTATTCTACAAATGTTGATTTTAATGCTTTTTAATGCTTTAATGTTCTTTATACTGTAAGCCACCCAGAGTCGCTGGATACAAAATTGGCGACAAATATTATTTCCTAAATAAATAAATGGAAAAAAATAAATAGTGGGAGAACTCAAGTAGTGGGTTAATCCGCTAATGAAATGTATTAATAGGGATATAAAGCCGTGGTGGTGCAGTGGTTAGAATGTAATACTTCTGACTGCCCTGCCGATTGCCAGCAGGTTGGCAGTTCGAATCTCACCGGCTCAAGGTTGACTCAGTCTTCCATCCTTCCGAGGTCGGTAAAATGGGGACCCAGATTGTTGGGGGGGGGGAATATGTGACTCTGTAAACCGCTTAGAGAGACCTGTAAAGCACTGTGAAGAGTTATTTAGGTCTAAGTGCTATTGCTATTGCTGATTTTATGTAGGTAGCAATATCAAGTAACAGCAACTTCAGGAAAAGCTGGAGAAGAACCAGGGCCTAAAGCAGGGGTAGGCAAGCTTGGCTTTTATGACTCATGGACTTCAACTCCCAGAATTCCTGAGCCAGCCATGCTGAGGGGAAAGGGAGAGGTTTCCAAGCTGAGCCATGCTGGCTCAGGAATTCTGGGAGTTGAAGTCCACGAATCATAAAAGAGCCAAGGTTGCCTACCCCTGGCCTAAAGAGATGTGGAAATAAAAGCCACAGTGACAGTGGTGGTAGAAATACACTCGGGTCTGTGACTCCTAAACTGGGCTTAAAAGATCCCAGGGAACAACATCTGAGCTCTCTGTACAGAAGAGGGCAGTGCTAGGCACAGCTAAGATATGGTGCAGAACCCTCACACTCCCAGGCTTTTAATAGACAATTTAAGATTGAGGAAGACACACACGACCCATAGCGAGTAAATGGTTCACGACACCAGCCAATTAAACTAGGAGACAAGAAGCAACGATAAGAAGGAATTGCAACCCAACATGTTGTCCATCTAGTTGTCAGGAGTCAACTCAAGGTTTCATGGGAAAATCTGAAAAAAAAAAGAAATGGCTCCAGGTGGCAGCTGCAGAAAAATGCCAAAGGCATAGAAAAGGCAGCTATGGAGATTTTCAATCATCCAGGTCAGTGATGGTGAACCTTTTAGAGACCGAGTACCCAAACTGCAACCCAAAACCCACTTATGCATCGTCGAGTGCCAGGTGGGCGTGGCCCATTGGGTAGGCATGGCTGTGGTGGTAATGGCAGAACTGGGTGGGACTAAAATGTTCAATCAATCAATTCCAA